CTCAGGTGTCGTCCACGTCACTTTACCATCGTTCAAAATTACGTGGTCCGTCGCCAAAAGCCCTCGTGTAGCTGAACAGTGCGACGTTAATATTCAATCAATCGACAAGAGGATTTGTGATTTGCTTAAAAATGCCGTATTATGGACGATGTTCTGCATTCCACTATTCCAAAACATAAAACACACACAATCGCTTTGTCACCTTTACTAATGATGCCATATTTCTAGATTCACTAAAATTGAAATCCTGTTGGTCTCTAATATCTTGAGCTTTTTGTTCTTTTACTGAATTAGCCTCCAGTTGAATAAGTAACAGTTAAAAAAAAAATCTTAAATATAGTACAAATAAACTTTGAAATACAGTTGTGTCAATGAAATTGATTATGCTATGCATAGAAAAACTTTTACAACATAAGCAATTGTGGTGTCCACGACGTAACTCAGGGTAAAGACAATAACAAACGAAAGCCCCTGCAACCGATCAATACTTCGTGTTTGTAGTTCGTAATACTACAAAATGAACTTTGTTATTTTGAAATAAAACGCAAATCTTTTATCACCGGGGTGCCCAAAATAATGTGTCGCGTGCCATCAAAATAATGATGCATCCTGTGCCAAGAAGAAACGAAATATGGGATCTATTTTTTGATTCAGTAGAAAGAGCATATTTAAGCACAAAAATGTGCTTAATTTATTTTAACATTTAATACATTTTAAGAAATGTAATACAGTAAATATTTAAGAAATACAGATTACTAATAATTGCATATTAAAAAGATCGCATATTTTTTCTCTATTACTTTTGTAAAACAAAAGTAAAAAAAATTAAATTTCAAATAAATTTTATAATTTCAACAAATAAATTAATAAAATTTCAAAATAAATTTTAAAAATCTTGCACCCATCTCAATTTTTTTTAATCAAAATAACAGAAATATAACAAAAACATTGAGAAAAGTTTTTTTTTTTTTCTTTTAAATATGCACATGAAATGTTACATGAACCCAATTCATTTTAAAGAAAATACAAACTCTCTGTGTAGAATTATTGAAACATTTCAATAATACAAAACTCCTTCAGTATCTAAAATAAAAATTATAAACTACATAAATAGCTTGTTATCTAGAATAAATGCAAGTTTTTAACTCTTGAGAAATCTTTTACTGATCATCGTCTGGTAAAACAGGAAAAAATATTTTGCTTTCTTTCTTTAACGTTCGCAATTGCGTATTTCTGAATAACTGCCAGCTGGGAGACACAATTAGTTTGTTGCTGCCCTTGTACGCCTAAGGTTGCGGGTTTGATCCCGGACGAAGGCGGTGACTTTTCATGATGCTGTAACGACTTCACTTTGGGTGAACCCCACCCTTCTATTCATGCTAAGTTTTATGGCTCAGATCAGATGTTAAGTGACAAGTGCACGTGGCCATGGGGTCATTAGTTATTGTTTGACCTCAGGCAAGCGCCGACAACCAGACTGGCAGTCATAACGGTCAAAAGAGAGCCGGCACCCATTGACAATAGGCGAAGCCTGTATGAGAAGAACAAGGTCGCCACGACAGGTGTCGAGAGAATGGGTTTATAGAACCAATGTGGGAGGATGAATAAAGTGTCCAGATGTTTCACGAGACTACTGGCGTCTTTGCATTCCAGACTGACCTGGAGTGTATTTGTGTGTGCCGCACAAATAGGACACTAATAAGGCCCGGAGACGAGGGCAGACTTTTGTGGCCTGCCAATGAGAAGAGACGAGGGGCGTGTTGTGGACCCACCCTTGGTGTTTAAAAGGGTTTTTTAGGAGACGGGAGGAGAGCCCTGGATGGAGAGAACTTGGGAAAAGCCTTGAAAAAATGAGACATGGACGGTAGAGGATAGAGATTGGAGTCGAAAGAAAGAAGAGACCATGAATGCCGGTGGCGTTGGAGAATTGGAATGAATGATTTAAAGAGATGAGCGAGTGCCCTTTGGAAAAAAAAGGATTGAAATCCCTTGATATAGACAGAATGCACCGGCTTGGCATATAAATTGGACTTTATTGCTTCATTTATAGTAACCTGAGAAGCAAATAAATAATTCTTTTATTTTAAAATTAGGTCGTGACAAATTTTTGTTTGTTATCTACTCACGACGTTACAATGCAGAAAATTGACAGAGTCCATGTCGTATGATTATGCGGCACGTTAAAGATCCCTAGAGTGCCTGTCTGGTACTCTGAGCAAAATTAAATTCAGAGCTCAGGTGCCACCATCTGTTGAAGGAAATTGGTTGCCCAAATTTCATTGTGGCAATTGGTGTGTGACGGGGTCTTACGGAATTTTCTATTAATCCTCTTGGGGAATCTTTGGAGCCAACAATTGAGTTATTTCACACCCATACCTCTCAAGAAGAAACCTTGAAAATGCAGATTAGCTAGTATAAATATAGTGGAAGTTTAGTAATCGGGGGGGAGAAGGAAAAGTAGCTGAGTTGCTGAATGCAGTGCTGTTACGGTAAGGATCGGAATTTAGACGCGTGATTACAGGACCGTCTTTAGTTATTAAAATAAATTAAGGAAGTTAGGATTCTTAAGATAACTTTGAGTAAAGTTAAGTGAATAGGATTTCATACGCTTATTCACATCAGATTTTAATCTACGTTATATCACTCTAGATTTTCCCTCTATTGTTGGCTTGTCTTTGATTATTATATTTGGTAATAATAAATTGAATTTTTCTCATGGCTAGCTTGGGTCATCAATCCTTACCCCTACAGATTTAGGTCGAGCAGATGAAGAGATGGCTTCCCCAGGTGGGAGGCCATTACAGGTGTTCCACCTATACAGTGCCACATTTAAAAGTTATACCAACTTGTGTGGAATGTACTAGGTCTTCAATGGTAATTATCAATCCGCAACACCATTGTAAAAAAAATCATAGCTAAATGTTGACCTCATGATTCGCAATTTTGTACTACGTACAGAAGAAGCTTCGATCTGAACTGCCACATACCTCAAGTATGCCATACGAGGACTTTGAGCTTCATAAGATATCTTTATCTACCCTATATAGTAAGAGAAAAAGTGACTCACTCTTCACAATATTTCTGAACCATTAGACTCAGACTTGAAATTTGGTAGGCATGTTCCTCTTTCAAAGAGTAGAGATTCGCTAGAGGAGGGGTTTTTCAAAAAATGACCCCAAAAAGGCGTTGCGAGGGCTTGTGATAGCCCACGGACTGTGGGTATCATCTCTCTTCATCATCCACGCGACCTAAGTTTGAGGAGATAAAAGACACCACTCAGAGAGCTTTCATACTAAAAATTAGTTTATTGTTAACTTCAATTCATATTCAGCAAAGCAACATGTAAGTCTAGAGGCTTATGATCAAAAGTGATGAGACAAAACTGTAATTCTAACAAACAGCGCAATAAACCACCGAATCTATATTTATGGATGATTTCCCTAACTTATTAGAATCCGCTCTAGTATTAAAGATTACTGAGTAATTCTTACCGCTATTCCATCGCGAACATACCAGTCCTTATATCGTCAATATAATACTATATATGCACCCTGATCCGGCAATGGATAATCTTCTGGCTTCTGAACCCACTTAGAATCTCCTTCTAGAACTCACTTAGCACCTTCATAGAACTCCCTCCAGCATTCCATACTTTAGTCACTAAAGCTTCAATATATACACATTCCTATATATCTGCATAATCACGCCCGAGATAAAGTCTCTGATTGGCTAGACGCTCAACGCTGACCGCCTTAGTGTGAATGCAGCTTTAATGGTGGGGATCACAAGCTACTCTCAACTACACTCAAAAGACTAAAATAAAACACCTCCTGTGACTCTCTATTTACCAAAACCTCTTTTTACTCTTGTCCCTTTTTGGATAGCTGGAACCGGACATCGTAAGGGTGAAAGGAATGTCCGTTCTGACCCCACTCTGGGATGAGTTGATTGATTGATTGAATACTAACGTCGCACTGTTTAGCTACACGAGGGCTTTTGGCGACGGACCACGTAATTTCGAACCATGGTCAAGTGACGTGGATGACACCTGAGCTGGTACCCTCCCTCTTCTAACTACCACACACCAACGGAGGACGTTTCAGCTCGACAGATTTAAGGTGCATCGCTGCCCTACACGGCGGGTCTTTAGTGGTGTACTGGGCTCGAACTCGTGAAAAAGGCAAGCCACGGTCCGATACCTGTTCACTCACATACAATGCGGCCACTCAGGGATTGGGATAAGTTCGCTTCAGTGAAAGATGTGTAAACGCGCTAAATTTCACGCTTTTAACACATACCCCTGCCTCGAACCCTTCCAAACTTCAACATGTGCCATGAAAACTGCCATTAAATATAGAGTACAAAATAAAATTAAAAAAAAAAAATAAGATACGTTAAATGAAATACCAAATTCACACCCAATAATTATTTGTGAAAATATATCAAACTTTGTAACAAAAGTGTGTGTGTGTGTACTTATGTACGCACGTAAGAAGTTATATTTCTTGGCGTAACAAGATTAAATCTTCTAAAAATCTTTAGCAGGGCAAGTTTCGCCAAAGACGAAAGGCGGTCATCACGAGCAGAGTTCAAAGATACTATCCTTCAGTCAATCGGACCAGCCAAACCTGAGATAATCACGATTTAAATAAATTTAAACACCCTCGCATAGGGACAATAGGACCAATAATATGGGGAGGGGATCGAGGGTGGGAATGATCTGTCCCGTTCTGTATATTTCTAGACAGCATTTTCGTATCCGTTCCTACGGAACGCAAAGCAAAGGTTAGCTGACGCGGGGGTATAGTTCAGTAGTAGAGCATTCGACTGCAGATCGAGTAGTCCCCGGTTCAAAACCCGGGAGTCTTCTTCTTCAGAACGTGAAGAGAAAATTTTTTGAGGATTTTGAAGGCGGGAATGATCTGTCCCATTCTGTATATTTCTAGACAAAACATTTTCTTATCCGTTCCTTTGGAACGCAAAGCAAAGGCTCTCTGACAAGGGGTGTACAGCTCAGTGGTAGAGCATTCGACTGCAGATTGGGAGGTCCCCGTTTCAAACTCGTGTGCCCCTATTTTCACACACAGGGAAGTGAAAAGAAATAATTTTTTAAGAATTTCACAGCCTGGGCAATGATCTGTCCCAAGGTCTCTGCATATTTCTAGACAAAGCATTTTCTGCATACGTTCCTACGAACACACAAAAGCAGCGTTGGTTGCTGGACGCGGGTGGTAGAGCATTCGGCTGCAGATCGAGGTCTCCGGTTCAAAACCCGGGTGTCCCCTCAGCTTAGGGCGAAGAGAAATATTTTTCTGAGGATTGTCCCGTTCTGTATGTTTCTAGACAATAGGATTTTCGCATCCGTGATGGTTTTGCGTCACATTCGTGATGGTGTACACGCGCATTGTAAAAATTTACCCTCATCCTATTTCTCTAACGCCCCAAAAGAAGTATAACACGTCAAAAATGTTTTTCAAATTTGATTCAAATGCCGCCCCTGATGGCAACCCACGCAAAGAGACTACCTATAATTACAATCCAAACCACAAAGAGATCGATACCGCCTTTAACGAATTACGTGACAGCGTTCTTTTCCTTCGAAGTAGGAAGAATTCTCTTTCTGCTGCCTCTCGAACAAAAACAAAAATCCCAATCTTTATTAGAGAATAGGAGCGATTCCTTTGAGGAACAGAAATAAAAGAAATGAAAAGCGAACTATCGGCTTTACGGGAAACCGGTCAGACTGCTCGACTTTCCCCCATCTCTTCAATCGAGGCCGCTGGGACGACACTAGGTCACACACCACTTCTCGACCACCTCGCCGCTTGAACACCCCTTTCGATTCCACAAGTGAAAGTGTTCGGATTTACCGTTATTGGAAACTAACTGTACGTGGCAGAGCAACAGTTGGACATACAGTCATCGTTTTTAAGGACACAAATTGGTTTATAGTTTTCAACAGTGTTAGAGGCAATATTGAGGTTCAATAACTGTCGTTCGGATGACTGCTGGACCCTCCGGATAAAAGATTTCGTGGTAAATTTTTAATAACATCTCATTCTTAGTATCGCTGCTGATCTTTATTCCCAACGGAAAAAACTGGATGATTTCGAAGGATCCATTGGACAATACTATGGGGGCTGTTTTAAAAACGATTCATTGAAACGAGTGAAGGCTCACTATTTGGATTACTCCGTTTGTCACCCCTTGTTTGACAAACGATAATATTATGCATTGACTTGTTGCCAGTTTTAAATTCGGAATTTTGAATTTTATATCATTTGTGTGTGTGTGGCGATTCAAGTGCAGTTTTTGAGAAAATTCTACACTATTTTCAAGGAGTGGATTTGAAGACATCGCCAGTCCACTATGTGTTGTAACCTTCTGAACGCCTTTGAAAAAGAGTCTGATTTTCGCCATTATTCACCCTCAACATTAATTTGGTTTTGAAACTTTTTTACAAGGAAGATCGATTTTGTCAAACAATATTCCTTTATATTAAGTGTACGAGTTAGAAGAGGATATTGGTGGTTTGAAGCATCAGAGAGAGCTCCATTGTGCCATTTTCAAAACGACTTTATGCATAAGTCCATTGATGTTTAAATTTAAATATTTGGCTGGACCTCATTGTGTGGATTGATTAGCAAACACATCCAATTGAATTTCGTCTTTGAAAAAAATATATCTAACCATTGTTGACGAAATACTTTTGTTTTTAATACCAACTGGTACGTTCACTTTATGTTTTTAACACAAGAGATTGGATCCCTAATGCAACTTCAGTGAGACAGGAACACGAATATTTTCTCGTCGAAAAATTTAAACGGTAAACACCTCAGATAAAAATGTAGCGGATGATAAAACTTTGGAGAGATCGTGTTTATGCCTTTTCTTTCGTTCAAATAGCTTAAAATTCTTCACTGAGATATATTCAGGCCGTATTCACTGCAACAATTTTTTTAAGAAAACATTATTCCTGATGCTTTATAAATGTATCTTTTCACACACATCCAATTGCCTGCTGGGACCTAAAATAAATAATAAATTTTAGAAGTATCGAGATATTTAGTAATAGCCCTGTTTGAATGGGGTATTATATAAAAAGAGTTTAATCTCTCTCTCTCTATATGTATATATAGATGAACTTTTATAAAAGTGTTATCCTGTCTTCAAAAAAGCATTTAAGCATATTAGGGCACTAAAAGTTTACAAGACAATATTTAAGAAAGAACGCTGTGTACTGGATTCGAATTTTTTTAACACACGCAGTATACTGACTCCTAAAGAAAAAAAGCACGTCTCACTTATGTGTGTCCGATAAAACCCTATGTAAATGATCAGTTTTAATAACTAATTTGATGAAAAACGTTTAACGTGACTAATATACGACATACAAACGCTGCTCCCGGTGAGCCATCACGTAAAGCAGTTTTCGCCAGCACATTCCAGAAGCCCAGGGATGGTGTGTGAAGAGAGAGAGTGAAGCAACTGGAACGAGGTAAGGTTTTTCTTTTCTACTAGAGAACGTGAGTGGAATGGGATCGGATCTTTATTTCAAATCACTTTCACTCACGAGAGCGTTCAATACCTCATTTCACTTTCGTCGACATGTTCGCTTTGGGATGATTTCGGCTTCTCACACCCTTCTCAGGACTTATTTTGTAATAATGGGGCATATTTTAGAGCAGTGTTTCTCAAACTGCTTTCTTTATTATGCTCCCATAACCCTTTTAAAGATTCTTCTGTCCCCCTATATGTATATACAGTCGAACCTCTATATTGCGAATTTTTCTATAGAGCGAACTTTTTCTTGGAACCAAGAACATTTCGCGATTTTCGTAAAACAACCCCCCAACAGCGAAAGACATTTTCTATATATAGCGAACTTTTTCTCATGTGTGTGTGATTTAATTTTTTCTCTCTATATTTTTTAAGTACTTCTGGACATTTCAAGTTATTCTCTCTTTTAATGCATTTTATGGTAGTCACATAAATCTCAAACTCGTTTTATTAGGAAGTCAACTCACTGAGAAGTTGGGGTGCAAAGAATTTTGGGCGTGTCACCCTGAGAAGTGCAGCCCTTAAAACTCATTGTCCAGTATAGAAACATCTTCGATAAATAAAGTTATAAAATAATACTTAAAATTATTTGTAGGCTTTAAATTAGAAAATGTCCTTAAAAAATCACACTTCAGTATAAAATTATTTTTTAATGTTGAAAATACAGTATTACCTTTTTTTGATGGGTAAGATATATACACAAATAGATATTAATTTACAAAAGTTGCGAGAATAATTACTTTTTTAATATAAAGTGTTTATGAATTTAAAATCTGTTTCATGTGGTTTATAAAGTATATTAAAAGATGGAACCCCTTATAAACGAATTTCCTAGCTGGTAACGAACTTTTTACGGATTTAGCGACTTCGTTATATAGAGGTCCGAATGTATTTAAGTGAACATATTTCCCTTTCAACGCGTGAAGGACTACAAAAACAAAATATAAAAAATAAATGAAAGACGTCATAACTAGGTGTAAAATAATGTAAGCACGCGTATCCCAGTTATTCCATATAATGCATGGTTAGAGGTGACATTTAGACCATAACTCAAAAACAATCAGTTAATCATATTAAAATTACAAGACAATTTTTTACTAACGAATACAATACTTTTTAAAAATTATCTTTTTTTTAAAAAATCGAGTGTATATTTTGTGCTCACTCTGTATAATACGTGCTCCATATAAAGTGTCTTGTTACTCCTCGTTTTTAAACTGAATTTTCGTGTAAAATTTATGTATTATCCCAATTTTTCTGAGAAAACATCTCAAAACCTTTTTACTGACCCCCGCTGATGACCACTACTCGACAGGTTTTTAGAATAGGACTTCAATTATTCGGCTGGACTGAAAGCCCTAGCTCCAGGCCATGACCACTAGGCTACCGTAGCCATCATAATCAGAACATAACAGAAAGAGAAAAATAAAAGCTTGTATCCAGGGGTATTTCGAGAAATAGATGTTCTGATATCCTGAGGGGGGGAGTAGGCGTCTCGTCAGCCTCACACATCATGATTTTTTAATCAAAAGTTATTTCCGGACATATTTTCTGAAAAACTGAAACTGAAGTGAGTAATTATTAACGTCGCACTGTTCAGCTACGCGAGGGATTTAAGCATTTGACCTTAAATGCTGAGCCAATGCTAAGGAAGAGAACGACACCCTGGAGCTGGCACACCCTTCTCCCAACTACCACACCACACCATACCAACGGGGATGTTTGAGCTCTCAACAGATTTAACGCATCGCTCCCCCACAGAAAATCTTAAGTGGTACTAGCTCGAACTCAGACACACCACCACGAGTCCATTACTCCACGCCCACCGGGCTAATGCGACCACCTGGGAAACTTCAAATTGTATGCCAACAGGCAACAAAGGCAAGATTACATTATCATGTCAGTGTCCACGTCTGTATTTGTAAGGCCTAGGCCTTACCACCTAACATCATCATTATTCATTTATTAGAAAGGAGGTAGTCACGTAACCGTTTTGTTTACGCGTCACGCAATTTTTGTTTGTTACTCATAACGTTTTGTACGAGTATTGACAACGTATGTGCTTATTTGCCAGTGCTGGCAACCTTTTTATCGGTCAACGTTTGATAATTTTACCGCAGCCCGCTAAGGGTGGGACACGTTGATTTTTATATTTTAGAATGTTTTCATTTAACAATTTTAATTTAGTTACATTTAAATATGCTCGAATAAAATATTATAGTTACACCAAAAATGAAAAAAAAGTGATTCAACGTTTAATATAAAGTGATTTCCGTGGAAAGTTGCGCAAATCCGAGGGAAATGCACCACTTTAAATAAAATGGCAATAGTTTAATGTTCTTTAGGCGGGCCCGGCACCATTTTGATCACGGACCAAATCACTGCTATATACTGGGAACTCAGTTCCAGCGTACGAACTACTGATTTTTTCTGTTGGTGTTGTGGTCCACCCAGTGACGTAGGTGGGATGATCTAAGAGAGAGAGAGAGAGAGAAAAATGTCTACAATAATTAT